AAATGCCACCAGCAACATTACCACTTCCTGACAACCCAAATAGCCCTCAGGCATGCTTTCCACAGGGTCTCTTTCTTTTCCTCCCTCTCTTCAGATCCCCAAAGTTTCCATAACAGCGTATTTGAGACTGCTTTAAAATACAAGTTATTTCTAAGTCAAAATATTTTTTACCTTGGGAATTTGCCCATATAAATCTTGAGTATTCACAAAACTATCTACGTCACATTTAATCTATACGAAACCCACTTTAAGATTCTTACAAAATATTTTAAGGGTATGAGTCCAAAAACATTATTTTGGTCAAAAACACGAGTTTCCAAAGAGTAATTTTCCTAAAAACTTTTTCATTTTAACTGTAAAATTTTGCCCCTTACTTTTTACCCACACACTTTATTGTGAGAAATTTCTATTTCTGCATGAGGTTTCATTCTCTGTTTTACATTTCAGCATGGTCATCAGTTTCAGACACTGAGTTATATAGCCCATTCAATGTTCAGTAAGCTGGGCTTTTTCAATGGGTAAGTGTGAGGGAGCAAGTAGAATTCTTAGAATTATTTACCACTGGGACTTTCCTAGAGTCCACCTCCTTCTTAGTTATGGCATCGAGTTATTTCTACATATATGTCTAAGTGAGTATTGAAAAGACAATGTTAACTTTCAAATACATATAACCAAAAAAAAGATCCTAGATATGTATCAACATCACTAGCTACAAAGAAAGATGCCTGAGAATGCCTATAATTTGCAAAGAAAACAGGGAAAGGATAAAACCCCACAAAGCACTGCACCAATATCCCACTTTCACCACTTAACAATGAAAAAGTCCCATCACTGAAAAATGATTAGACATCATCAAAATGGATCTATTCTGTCTACTTTTATATAATCTTTTGACATTTCTGTATTATAGCAATCAATGCTGATAATATGTAATAATTTAATAAAATTGGCTTCCTACTATGTAGTTAAATAAACCATTTCTAGCCTAGTGTAATTATCTAGAAGATAGCAAAATAAAGTGACATTATTTCTCTAGTCACAAAGCAATAATAGATTAATTCAGTCTTTGACTCTCCAACCCAGGATTTGGTTTCCAGAATGATTCTGCTAGTTTTCTTAACTCAAAGAAAATATTTATTTGATAAATGTCTAATACATAACCAAACTACTATATTCAAATGGAAACAGTTTCAAAGATTGTGAAGTAAAGGGATTAGGGTAATTATGAAACAGTCAAAGGAAGCACACAAAAAAATTTATAACTCATTAGGCCAGGAAAATAGTTAAGAGTAACTTAACATTGGGGTGCAAGCTAACAGACATGATACTCATGACTTTGTGAAATAATACCCACTTGATGAAATAATTCACATGTGATGTTAAGATAAAACGTTTAGAAGTTCAATTTTAGAGGATAACAATTATATCACTTAAACCAGCAAATGAGGTATTCCAAGGAGGAAACTGAAATTTTAAAAAAATTTTTATTCTAAAAGAAAGAGAAATACCGGTTCTATAAAATTTGCTCTAGTAAAATTGCATCAAGTTGATAATATTTTAAATCACAAATTAACTCAAGTCCGAAATCTTTATCACAGACAAAAAAAAAAAATCTTTATTATACAATCTTGAGGACAAGTCCAATCATATTCAAGGTATGAAAATTTACCAGGTTGATTTAATAAAGTGAAATTAGGCCACCCAGTGGTTAATATGATGTACTGCATACATGAATATTTTATTTCCAAATCTGAACTGTGCAAGCCAGCATTATTACAGTAAGACAAATTTGACTTTACATAACCTTTGATCATTATTAATAGCAATACTAAAGAGAGTTCTACCTAGTAATTCCATAAACAAAAACAATGTGAGAAAATTTCTATTTCATTAGTATGTATATGCTTTTAAATGAGAAAAGATTACAAAATGTCTTCAAATATATATATTAAAGCTAGAAACTACCTTACAGACCATAAAATCCAAACTCCATACATTAACCAGATGAAAAACCGAGGCAGAGTTTACTAGCTTCCCCAAACAGTATTGCCAGTTAATGACAAAACCGATTAAAAGATCAGTTCTCATATTTCAGTATAATTTCATCCCCACCCATTTTGCTGGAAACAACACAGTAAAATTGGTTCCTACACACACACGTCTACGTAACATTGAAAAAACATCTTCTATTTCAAGAGCTGGCTTTTATCTTTTCAGGTTAGTGTAGTCATAGACCATCCCAAGCGTAAATACTTTAATCTGTTACTAGTAAGCAGGTTTCTAAATGACTTTTTTAAAGTTTACTTTAAAGGGTAAAACTGATTTTCGAATCTAAAATTAATTATGTATATATAAATATGCTTAAAAGTCAAATATATATTAATAACAGATATATTAATGTTAGTATTGCCTGTAAATTGTCATTGCAATTCCCAGTGGGACGTAAAATTATTTAAAGTCACAATACAAATGAGTCTTCCTTTATGTAAATCTAGAGGAGAGATACTACAGCTATCTTAAAGGTCAAAACAGCTAACGTCCTGCAGTTGTTTCACACTTGAGGTAACACTTAGTTTTCTACTCTTAGGTTTTCTTTTTTCTTTTTTTTTTTTCAGATCACATAGGAAACGTGTATTACAGGATTTATGCCTATGCTCTTAGGCAAAACTTTTATATAGCAAAGTATAGTTTTCACTTGACCGCTTAAATGGTTGTATACTGGAGATCTCAAATTACAACCTGAAGTAACTTTTATTTCTTTTCCCTTTCAGCTATAAATTGAGTTCAAATATATTAAGATACTTAGCTAAAAGGCAAGAGAGATTTTTCCCAATGACTACATTATTTTTGCTTCAAAACAATTCACATACTATCTTCTTTTGTTTTTGGTTGAAGCACAAAAGCAGAGCATCTACTATCGTCTAAGATATGTAAATCATATTTACGTATGCAAGAAATGTAATTTAGAGTATGAAACACATTCAAGTATGAAGACTTAAGAGATACATCATTCAGAGATGATAATTTCTCCCCACATCCTCTATCTGTATACTCCCAGGGACAGTGTAGCTTCACCCCACCACATTTAATTACTCGAGATTTGACTCTTTAAATCACTCTATCATGTTTAAATTAACTTACACAACTGGCAAGGGATAAATGTCAAAAGTACAATACTTAGATTTCAAGCTCACAGTATTCTCAATAAAACAACTTACATAGGCAAACTAACATTAAGTTATTTCTCCTTTGTCTATTATTATGAAACATACACTTCATACATATGAAATTGACAGAAAACCCTTTGGGGAGGGGAAGGTTCTGATATTTAAACATTCATGTCTAGTCATAATTTTAATTTAACTAAATGCTGATGACAGAATTAGCCAAGAAACTGTTTCAAATAAGATTAACAGCAATACTGATAAGTAGATATCACACATTAATAAACTTGTTATTGAGTTAACATATTCAATTGTCATCTTATTTTTACATTTTTTTAAATTTAAAAATTCAAAAAGCCTAAACCAGTACTTCAGCAATCATAATTACAAGAGGTTTAAATATCTATCTTTTCTGAAGATTGATGTTAATTGGGTCCTTGAAGTTCTAGAGGGGTGGTTCTTTCCTGGGTGATTTTGTCCCCCAAAAGATATCTGGCAATGTCTGGAGACATTTTAACTGTCATGACTGAGGGAAGTGGAGTGTTCCTATCTCTACTGGGTAGAACCCAGGGATGCTGCTAAACATCTCCCCATTACAAGAATTATCTGGCCCAAGATGTCAATAGTGCAAAGGTTGAAAACAGTTTTAGAGGGGTCTGTGTATACATTTATATCATCTCAAGGGTTTGTCCTATAACTTAGTACAAACCTAGTAAGTTTACCGGGACTTAAGGATTTCTGCAGAAGCATCCTGCACACAGCAGATATTTAACAGACAAAGCAAAAAACAATTATGTATAGTTACTGCCAATTTTTAGCAGAACTCTGCAGTGAATGACCCCCATTACTAAATTTCAACTTAGGAAACACATCTCTAGTTAAGATTTTGGGGCTGTGGATCTAGATAAAAAAAAATTTGGAAATTCTGCCAAACATCTTTTCAGGTTTATCTGATAATGCTGAAAATCAGAAGACACCCTATATTTTTGTTATCTAAGCAATTACTCCACATAATTTATGAGTAGCTGCTGTAATGGCATGTAAACAAAAAGTAGACACACAAATTCATCCTAGCACATTTTCCAGGCAAAGGTGGAAAAAAGTGCTTTACCTCTGTGCAACACTTAGGTACGGTCAGAGTCAAACACAGACACTCAAAATATTAAGTGAATCAAACACATTGTTTTATTTTAAGATCAAGCTACTAGTTGTTACTACTAGTTGTTACTATGTGACATGGTCCCAATAGAGGATATTAAAATATACATATATACATAAAGCTGAGAATATGGGTATGGAAATTACAGAAAACATCGAAAAGGTCCGCTCAGCTATTCCCCAGAGGATTTTCCACAACGTTTCAAGATAGCTAGGTTGGCAGAGGGGTGGCTGCCCAGGTTCACCACGGAGTTCCTATTTTGACTGTACTGTCATTCAGAAAAGAGTCGCCCGAACACCATTTTCAAGTCCTCCTGGCAGGACACAGCCAGTTTTCTCTGCGTAGCGAACTCCCTAAAAGCGCTCGACTTACCTGGCAAGAAACCTGCCTCGAAGAAGTGGCAGCGTGAGGTCAGGAGCCTGGACACGCACTGTGAGGACAGCCACGGAGAAACCTGGGCATCTCGTACGTCCCGCGCCTCAAACACCCTGGTCCCCAACTCTCCACACGTCGCGGCTGCGCTCCGGCCATCGAGGTCAAGCGGCCGCGGGCACGCGGGAATAAAAACCTTTGCCCTCGCCGGGGAGGGCCTTATGGCGGGAGGGGGCAGTGGGATAGGAAAGAGAATCTAAGCCGAGACGGCGCCGACAGGCCTGAGCGAAAGGGGTGCCACCCACCTGCGCGACCTCTTCGCCATCCTTCAAGTACCGCATAGGAGCGGGCTGGGCGGGGACGCGGGTCAGCCTCCTCCAGCCTCCGGCGAATGCTCCTTCTCCCTGATCCTCCAGCAGCTTCCCTCGCTCCCTCTGGAGACTGCCGAGTGCGGAACGCACGTCCTCGACAGGGCAGGACGGAGGGACAGCGGGGGCGGACCGCGACCCGCCCCCGACCCCGGCCCGCAGCGCCGCTCTTAGCCCCGGCCCGGCCCTGCCAGGGATGCCCCCAACATGTCAGGAGGCGCGATCCCGCCCTCCGCCGGCTTCTCCCGCCGCTTGTCAGCCTCCCCGCCCCGGTCCCAGACAGGCTCCGCCACAGGCGCCGACCCTCCCCTCTCCCCGCAGCTAGCAGTTCTGCAGGGCTCGCAGTCTCCTGCAGGGTTTTGTCCGCACCGCCGAATCTCGCGCCCAGCCTCCCTCAAGAGCCGCCGTTTGAATCTGCGCACGCGGCCCTGAACCCCATTGGCTGTGGGGACCGCACGCGGAGCAGCGGGGGCGGGGCGGGGAGAGCGCGCGCGGCTGAGGGCGGGGCTGGGGAGCTGGAAGCTGGGACTGGAACTCGCGGGAGTCGGGGAACGAGCCCGGAGCCAGGGGGTGGGGCCGCGGGTGGGGCCACGGGTGGGGCATGCGGGCCGAGCTGTCACAGGACCCGGAACGCGCCGAGAGGCGCGCCGCGCGGGGCCTGCTGGGAGAGCAAGTTCCTGCGCTAGCCCAGGAGCGGGTCCGGAAGCGGCGCTGGAGCGGGTCCGGAAGCGGGCGGTGGAGCCGTCCAGCTGCCCCAAACTTCTTAGGGTGAGAGGACTGAGTTTCTAGCGAGGTGGGTGGTCCCGCGGCCCAGTGTGGGAACGTCTCCGCAGCCTCGCCTCGGCCACAGCTCCTCGCTCCTTAGGTGTCTTCCGTCTCACTAGTTAGGAGGCGCGATTTTCAGACTTGAGACAAACCTAACCATAAATTTGCGCTGCCGTTATTTTTTAAGCAAAAATGTGAGCTATTTTTACCCAGACATCATAGCCACGAGAGTGACGAAGACTGGCAGGAAACCAAATATCACCTGTTTTCCTCAAAAAGCAGCTGAAGCGTGACAAGTGAAAAAAGTTCCTAGCGGGAGACGTGCTTGGAACGGGAGATAATCCGTGTCTACCGCTGGTCCTCAAGGTGCTTAATTTTGTGTCCGCTCTACGGGAAATAACGTGCGCGGCGGAGAAGCCCGGACTGGAGAATAACCCGTGAAGACGACAGTGGACTGAGCGTTTCGTCCAGATGAATGAGCATGGTAGTTAAGTGTAGAAGACGACCTTCTTTCCTCTGGAGAGACCGGGGAGGGGGGAACCACCGGAGGAGTTTCTAGCGGTTGCAGCTACTTGAGGTTCCAGTCTAATAACTACGAACTGTTCATTTCAAGTAGCATTAAAGTAGATTTGCTACAGTGACAATTAGACTTGGCTAAGGAAAATTTGCAAGGCAGCATGGTCTACTGCATAGAGCACTGAGCCGCATGTTAACACTGTAACAAACACTTGCTATTTTGAAATTTTACGCTTCATCTTTTGCAAATCAGATGCAGGTGCGGAGTGAATTAAGCGGAGCTGAATTAAGAGAAGCTTGCATGCACTACTGTCAAAACCTAAACACACTGGCTCTTTTTTTTTTTTTTTTTTAACAGTTCCTTTTTTCAAGGTATGGATTCTGGGAAAGTAAGGGAAGGTAAAACAGCATTTCTTTTTCTCTCTCTCCTTTATTATTTATTTATTTAGAGACTAGGTCTTGCTCTGTCCCCCATGCTGGAGTGCAGCAGCACAGTCATAGCTTACAGTAGCCTCGAACAGCGATCCTCTTGCCTCAGCCTCCAAAGTAGCTGGGATCACAGGCGCGTGCCACAAAACCTGGCCAAGAGTTTCTTCCAGATCATTGCTTACTGGGTTGCTGGTTCAGTAAAAATAAAAAATAAATAAAAATTTAGAAATGAGTTTCCAAATTTCATTATGTTCCTAATGTCATTTGGAATCACTGTTTCACTGTTTTCTTATTTGCCCCTGGGTCATACATTAATGCACTTACTTATATCTAACAGGAAGCAGAGCTTCTGCTATATTTTAGGCTGTATTCAGTTTTATACAGAATACATTTTTTAGAGCTTGAAGACAGATGTGTTGGATTTTGACAGTAAAACAAATTTCCTTCATTCCTACATATAGAGAAAAACAATTCCCAGAAAGATAACATTGTGAATTTACTTAAATCAGTTATAAAACTCAGGGCAAAGTGTGGAATTAATGTGGTTCACAGTCATTTGAATACACATACTCAGATGTATTATAAACTAAGATGAGTTTTTTTTAAGCAAATATTTAGAGATTTTATTCAGAGTATATAAAGAATTCTCAAAACTCTGAGAAAAAAAAGCATTTTAAAAATGGGCAATAGATTTAAACAGATTTCACCAAACAAGATATATATATATATACACATACATACATGACAGGCACGTTAAATGATGTTCCACCTCATTAGTCATTAAAGAAATGCAAATTAAACCACAATGAGATACTACTATACTTCTGTTAGAATTAGCAGTGAAAATGACTGACTACAAATGTTGGTGAAGATGAAAATGCTGAGCAAGTACAACTTGCATACATTGCTGGTAGGGATGCAGAATTCAGCCATTTTGGAAAACGTTTATAGTGGCTTTGTTTCGTTTGTTTTTTAATTTTTATGGGTACATAGTAGGTGTATATATTTATGGGGTACATGAGATGTTTTGATACAGGCATGCAATGTGAAATAATCACATCAAGGAGATGGGGTATCCATCCCCTTGAGTATGTATCCTTTGTGTTACAAACCCCTTACACTCTTATTTTAAAATGTACAACGAAGTTATTGACTATAGTCAACTTGTGCTATCAAATAGTAGGTTTTTTGTTTTTTTTAAGAGTCTCACTCTGTCACCCAGGCTGGAGTGCATTGGCTCAATCGCCACTCACTGCAACCTCCGCCTCCCACGTTCAAGCAATTCTTGTGCCTCAGCCTCCCAAGTAGCTGGGATTACAGGCATGTGTCACCATGCCCAGCTAATTTTTGTGGGGTTTTTTGTTTTGTTTTTTGGGTTTTTTTGTTGTTGGTTTTTTTTTTTGAGACAGCCTCACTCTGTTGCCTAGGCAGGAGTCCAGTGGCGTGATCTTGGCTCGCTGCAACCTCTACCTCCCAGGTTCAAGAAATTCTCCTGCCACGCCAGGCTGATTTTTTGTATTTTTAGTAGAGATGGTGGTCTCACCATGTTGATCAGCCTGGTCTCGAACTCCTGACCTCAGGTGATCCTCCTGCCTCAGCCTCCCAAAGTGCTGGGATTACAGAGATGGGGTCTCACCATGTTGACCAGCCTGGTCTCAAACTCCTGACCTCAGGTGATCCTCCCGCCTCGGCCTCCCAAAGTGCTGGGATTACAGGGGTGAGCCACCATGCCTGGCCTAATTTTTGTATTTTTAGTAGAGATGGGGTTTTGCCATGTTGGCCAGGCTGGTCTCGAACTCCTGACCTCAGGTGATCCATCCACCTCAGCCTCCCAAAGTGCTGGGATTACAGGCATGAGCCACTGACCCTGGCCTGTTTTTAAAGGTTTTAGATTTGGGGTCTAGCTGTGTAGCCCAGGCTGGAGTGCAGTGGTGTGATTATAGCTCACTGTAACCTTGAACTCCTGGGCTCAAGCAGTCCTCCTGCCTCAACGTCCTAAAGTGCTGGGATTACAGGCATGATCCATCTGTGCCCAACCAGGGCCATTCTTCAGAGATGCTGGTGTGATTACTAAAAGAAACAATCTTCCTTGGTTTTCTTGCACTCCTATATACATCTTGCTGGGTGTGCCAAGATTGCAAGGCCCTGAGTACTCTTTTATACAGGCCGTTTCTAAGGGTTGTTTGCAGCTAGTTGCCTTAAGAGATGAGGTAACATCTCAGTCTGAGACAAAAACCAGGTTTACTTACTGCTTACTATAAAAGCAGTGGATTCCCAAGTTCAGTGTTTCTCAACTGTAGCACAAATCCACTCTATGCATGACATCCATCTGGTACCATTACATTGCCTCATGGGACCTGAAAGCAAGAATAACTGGCACAAATATGTCGATGCTCAAGGTGTTTGCTGTGCTGTAAGTAATATCAATACATTGTCCCCAACCTAAGAGTCTGGTGTCTTCTGGTAAAAGCATCCATGAGCCAGTAACAGTTTAACTTAGTTTGTAAGTAGGGTAAAATCAAATCCCAGACCTGACAGGTAGAGTGTCATGAATGAAGGGACACTCACAACCCCTGTCACTCTCCTTATTGTATTTAAATCTCCATGAAGCAAATTTTTATTTTTCCAATTCGAATTTTTATTTTAGAATTCCTAAATTCTTCAGTCCAATTTTTACTGGATAAAGTGCATGTCTTGGGATTGAAAATAACCATCAGACAGGTGTGGTGGCTCACATCTGTAATCCCAGCACTTTGGGAGGCTGAGGCGGGTGGATCACCTGAGGTCAGGAGATCGAGACCATCCTGGCCAACATGGTGAAACCCCCATCTCTACTAAAAATCAAGAATTAGCTGGGGCATGGCGGTGTGTGCCTGTAGTCCCCAGCTACTCAGGAGGCTGAGGCAGGAGAATAGCTTGAACCTGGGAGGTGGAAGTTGCAGTGAGGCCAGATTGCACCACTACACTCCAGCCTGGGTGGACAGAACGAGACTCCACTCTCAAAAAAAAAAAAAAAAAAAAAGTAACCATCATCAGTATAACAAAGAAAAGAGAAAGAAAGATAAGGAAAAGGAGAGGAAAGAGGAAGGAAGGAAGGATCAGACCCTTCTTTCAAGCTATAGTTGTGTTTGGATGTGAAAGCTCCAGAGACATAGAAAGCATTCATAGCTAATGGTGACCCCTTTCTGCTTTGTGATGACTGGCTTTTGCTTATTTGGTAAAAGGTTAAAATCTTTGAAATGACATTTTCCAACTTCTGATTTTTGGTTTTTAGTAAAAGAACTACTTT